TTTTTTTTTTCAGTTTTTTGAGATCGTCCACTCATTTTTTATTATAACATGTGGAAGAAGGTATTTATTTAGTTTCTTCACCTTTTGAGTCACTCCATGCCATAACTTATCAGTTCTTGTTATGCTGTGCCTGGGTATACTAGTATGAAGTGTATTATAGTTGTTCCAATGACTTCATCTTTTGTACAAGGAAAATGCATGTGTACTGGTCAATACTTGTTATGTGCAGTACACTTCACTTTTCTTGTTGTTCTAAGGTAAAATGTTAATCAAATCTGAGTCACCGTTAAAACCATATTAGTAACTGTTGAAATAATCCATATCATGGAAGACATGCTACTGATGATTCTGGTTTACTTTTCCCTTCTGTTACATATACACAGATATTTGTTGATCCCTAAACCCTTGTTATGATTTTCTTTTGCACTTTTATGACTGAGTATTAGAGATGGCCATAAAGTAACTAAATGTTTGCTCTAGTCAGAGTGTACCTTAGTATTTATTGATCTAGAGAAGAAATAAAGCTTTGGTGCTTTCACCTATAGATTGGTAGGGGAACCATCATGTGAGTTAGCAGTTTGACTTAGTATGTTTGTAGTTATAGCATAATAGATGACTTTCATAATTTCTAACTTCTAATACATAAGTATCTTTTTCGGTCTGACTTGTTGTGGTTGTGGATGTGCTGCTTCTTCCGTTAAACTTATAATTTTGGGAAGTTCGTTATTTCCTGTATAACTCAATGATCCTATTCGTTTCGTAACATTAATGATTTGACTACAGTTTACCAGATATGTATTGCATAACACTCTAATTAATTTCCTTTATATGTTTATATCCATACACAGTTATATTCCACTTTTCATAGCATCTAGATATTTTCAGTAATTCTGATAGTAATATTGAAATATCAGAAGGGTTTTGTTTGCTAATGTAAAGATTGTCATTAATCAAATTAAAGACTATTCTCAACTAAATTTGATGCAATTTAAACATCTTGATGTTGAGGTGATTGAATAGGAACTGTAAATAGACTTGGATTGAGTTATTTTTTTGTTCATAAATTGGATAAGAAATGATTTTTTAGTTGATAAAACACGCGATTGTAGTTGTTAAAGAACTTGGAATTTTCATGTTCAGTCAAAATATTTATATAGATAGCATATAATAATATATTTTGCTGATTAGTGGACTGAATGTATGGCCCCGTTTGGAAGATAGCGGATTGAAGATAAATTAACGGATTGAACTTAATTGAGAGGTTTGACCCGTCAAATCCGCTATTGAACCTGTTTGGTAAATAGCTTATTTGATAAGCTTTTTGGGCCCAAAACTCTAATTTAAAAAAAGCTCATTAGAGCAGCGTTTTGGGGATAGAGGATTCACAAAAATCATTTACTTGGAACTTTTTAATTTGTGTTATTTATTTTACAATCTACATTGGTTTATGGTGCTAATAAATAATAACATGTCATCCATATGATTAATTTATCTAGAAGAATGTAAAATTTATAACTTTTTCATCAAGTGTTAGTAATTTTTTTTAAAAAATAATATATTTATAAATTACCAATTAAAGAATATTAAATGTTTTAATATACTATTATTAAAAGAATACACCCTAAATAATAAAATGTTCTTATTGGTCATTTTGCAATGTCAAACAGCTATAAGCTTTCAGTTATTTACCAACACTTATTTAAAAACCGCTAATGCAATTCGCTGGTCAATCAGCTAATATAATCTGCTATCCGCCATCCGCTGATCGTCAAACAAGGCCTATATCTATTGAATTGTAAATAAATGTGTAACTGACAAAGCGCCAATCTGTTAATTATCAATGCCTAATAATGTAATGAGGTTGAAGGACTTACTTCAATGTTGAACTTGGCTCCAAAACCTTGAGTGACCAGGATGGTTGCTATTCTTGATTTCCTCTCTTTCCGAATTTTGAAAGTAATATGAAGTGACATAACATACCAGTTCTAACTATTCTGATGCATCCGTATTCTGTTTCATTTTCTAGGTGCGGCATAATATTGCCATTGCGGAGAATTTTCAAGATGGCTGTTCAGATCCTAAAAGGCTTATTGGAGCACTTGAAAACATCCTGGTTAGTATTTACATGATACTCCACCCCAACACTACGAGTCATCGGTGAGAGTTTTAGTTGTGTGTGCAATCTGCAGCATTCATTTTTTAACATATGCATGTGAAGTCGTTCTTGTCATTTAATGATGAGTATTGACCAGTGAATAACAGGTTCAGGTTCTTTGTAGATTGGAGTCAGTGGTGAAACTAGCGTATCTTATGACAACTTGTTCAGTTACCTATATATATTAGGGAAATTAAGAGCTTCTGACACCCATTCATGTATAAATTGAAAATACGGCTTTGGCAAAGAACTAAAAGTTGTGGAAGCAACCTTTTTTTTTTTGTTTTCTTTTGTTTCTTCGCTAGATTAACCTTAAACCCATCAAGTGTTACATATGGAATTTTCCTGGAAATGAGATGATTGGGAATGTTTGCCACAGACTTGCTTGCACAAAACTATTACAACTACCATTTGAATGGGCTAATGACCAGTTGTATGTATGTGGTATTGGAGTTTTGGTGCTTTTAGCATTTGGAGAACGTCTCATATGGATTCAAGTTACTGCTTCTGAAAGTGGTGAAAATGTAGATTGCTTTCAGTTTTATATATGATTTTTAAGCTTCTAAATTTCAACTGATTAGTGGGCTATATTTTGCTTCGGCTTCTGTACATTATTGAATGGAGATGTTGGCTCCCCGTTTGTTTTGCCTTTGGATATTTTTGTGCCTCTTATCCCTCCTTCAATGTGTGTGTGTGTGTTTACTTGTTTGATTCAATTATTGAGTATATCATGTGCTGAACAAGAAGCTAAAATCCTGCACTGGATATTTGCGGCATAACTCAAAATATACACGTCTCGTTTCAGAGGACATGTTTTTGAGCAAACTTATATTATTTATGCATTGTTCTAGATTGTGATATTAATATCAACTCTCAAAGTCTTACACTTTGTTTATTCTTGCGAGAGAGATATTTATTAACTTCTAGACCCATTGTTTGGCATGGAGTCATTTATACTGGAAACATGATTATTGAAAGTAAAATAATGTTGTCTGAGGCTTGTCAATACAATCAAGTATAATTGATAGTAGAAGATATGTACTGAACAATTAGATCACATCAACATGCTAATTTATTATACTACATAAATTTATGAGTGATAATTTTATGTTAAATAGTAGTTTTATTATTTGTTAGTCTGATTATTATAGATATGAGCTGTGAATTTCCAGTTTTGAGGAGTTACTTATAACATAAACATTCCAAACAAAGAAACTTGATCTCCAATTATTTGATTTGCGGTTTAGAGTCTTAGATAACTGTTATTGCCAAGCAAATGGGCTCGCATCAAAGTTGGCTTGGTTCCCTACTTGATTAAATGACACAGGTTTTACCTTTTCTAGAGATTGATAGTATATGAGATCTGTTGTGGAGGAGTTGCTCCATTACATAGTTTGTTTGATTTGGATTATACGTATTACGTGTAAAACTGTCAGAATTTGATTTCTTTCTCCAACTTCATCTCTATCTTTTCAAATGGAATATATTCATTTTCCAATTTATCTTTTATCATTTCATTTGCAGATCAATTTTATTCTCTGCTCTTTCTCCTGAGCTCCATACTTGTCTATTGTTGTTTCATTCTCTGGCACCTTAATTTTTTTTGCCTTTTGAGCTGATTCCAAGTTTAGATTTACTTAATTTTTGACTTGAATGTTATCAAGTATCAACTTTACAATTTGATTAAAAGTTATCTTGGGTTATGTTCCTGAATTACACTTATTCTGTGCATGCTTTCTTTTGGTATGAGTATGATGAATGTTATATAATCAGTCTTTAGCTTAAAATAAAGCTTGACAGAGGTTGCCTAGCAACAGAGTGAATCTCAAGTCTGCTATCTAAAGCTAGTTTGATTCATTATGGGCTTCGTTGGATTTTGTCAAGCTGCAACTAGAAACTGCTGAGAGAAAATATTAGGGTTTGGTTTGGTAATATCTTGAGTTCTTCTTCAGATAAACTTGGTTTTGGGATTTGCACCAAGGAATATTTACAAATTGATAGTGTTTGAAATAAAATTTTGGAAATTGTTGATTTGATGCATTATCAGAGATATATTTTCATTAAGCCTTCTCTGAAGGCAGGATCTTTCTACTCTTTTCCAGTACCGTCACGTCAAGCTTCTATATGAATATATTTTATTGTTATATATACATGAAATTGGATTATATATTTATATATTAACACAGTGATTCAAATTTGTGTTAAGATCATTAGCGTTTCCTAAAGCTCATTAATTATATGTTTGGTTGAAGATACCGATAATGAAAATTCATATTGGTTAGGACATGGAATGGTGTTTGCTTGAGTAGTTCATTAGGCTATGTGATATGAACAAAAATATGTTATGATGTATCTATAGTTCTATTTTTAATTCATAATTTATTTTGATTTGTGAGTAATGGTGGGCCCATATTATTTTGATCATTTAAAATTTCACATTTATAAAATTATTTTGGTTTCCATGTTAGACATCGTGGATGTGCTCTGATTGCCTTGATTGTTTGGCATTGCTATCACACAGAAGAAGTTATTCCCATCCTTTCCATGATTGAACCCAACGTCTTCATACTGAATTTTTTTTCTCCCCCAATCTTCCTTCTGTTATTTGCCTCTCACCTAATCAGTTGGTCAGACACAATCTCAATAAAAACATGGGGGATAAGCGTCTGCTGGTATCTTACACGATGCCATCGTCGGTCAGGCGTCGGCTCCTTTAGCTTGTTTACCCACTTTTCTGTTAACACTTGAAAGGCTAATCCTTCTTCGGCTCTTTACCTCAGCCGTCGTCAATGTGTACTTCCTCCCAAACTTCTCTTCTTCTATTCTCCTCTCTCACCAGTTGATCAGCACCAATTCCATAATGAATTGCGACAGATGAGCATATTCGTCTATACTCTTCATGATGGCACAACAGAAGTTAAGAGGAAAGAGGAAACCTATATGGGGTGTCGTTGGTTCTATTAAAAATTGAGGAAAGCTTGGTCATGGTTAAAGATTAGTTGCGGCTACAAGTAATTTTGAATGCTTTGATAGATAGTAATGTTGTTAAAATTTATTCAGCAAGACTGTAGTTTAATACAACTTAAAAGAAAAATGCTACTATGCCAACCTAGTGTACAACTGGGATGACAAGACAAGTAGAAACATCTATAAAAAAGAATACACAAGTGGATGTTTTCACTTGTGTTGTCAACCTGTTGTACACTAGGTTGGCAATGTTGCGTTTCTCAACTTAAAATATCATTTGAAAGGGTGTATGCAAGAATTGGATTTGAATACTCAAATTTCAGTCGCCTGATTCGTAATTTGAACATGCATAATTACTTGAGGTTAGATTATTCTCCTATTTAATAGAATTATTTTACTCAGCACTCCACTAGGACCAATGGGCAGCATAAGGGAAGAAAGACTAACCTAGGAATCAACAACACGAAAACCTTGTTTGAAATTATCCCCTTTCCTTTTTGGCTCGGAATTAAAAGAATGGTTGGGACAACAAACATCCATCTTGTTTGTACTTTGGATACCAATATAAATCTGTTTATTAGCTGGAACAACAAACACTCAATATGTTAAGAAAGAACATGAATAATTCTATTTTGTGCATGATCGTGGCAGCAACTCTTATTACAAAGAAAAACACCCAGGTCTCAGCCAATGTATACTGTTTCAAAGCAGTTTTTTATGTATATGCCGTGCAATGCGCTACATCGAAAATGACTTCTAATTTCATCATCTAACCTTTCCCTTTGGTATTGCGTGGCACAGGAGCATTTACACCATTCATTACTTCTGACAAACCATCATTACACTGTTAACTAGTGTCAAGAGTTCAATACTGGAATCTTGCTTCCATTTATATGGTGTTTGTTGTGGATATTGAACCTTTCTGTGTGCATTAGTTTTCATTATCCGTGCATTCAGTTTCACTGACTCTATTTTCTGCTTAATTAGAAACAATGTGAGGAGCTTGCAGATACATCTGCAGAACCCTCGGAGATTACCAGCAGTGATGGAAGAAAATCTATGGCTGGCGTGAAGGGACCTAATAATGCTGGGAATCACCTTTCTAGTTCTTCTGGTTACAGCGACGACTTTGACACCTCTGTTGCAATGTTTAACTTAGTATGCTCAACTTCTGTAATTGCTTGGGTCTGTAGTTTCCTGAACTATATTGTCCGTATCTTAGTTTCCATGTCCGTATCTGATTGCAGGCTGTTATCTGGTTTCATCTTCATGATTATGCCAAATCATTCTCATACTTGGAAACATTTTATCAGAACATTGAACCCATTGACGAGGTGACAATTGCACATTAGAACAAATCCATTTTACTAATACTTGGATGGAACTGTTTGCTTCACATTTGAAAGATAACTTGCAGGCAACAGCCCTTCGTATATGCCTTTTGTTGCTGGATGTTGCATTAGTGTTTCATCATGCATCAAGATCTGCTGTAAGTTCCTTATGCTTAATAGAATAATTTTTAAAATTTAAATTATCATCTTGACTTTGACCGACACAGCTATGTAAAGGTATATGGTATATTTTTACAAATGTTTTTGTGTAATTATTATATTGATGCATAGTTATCTAATATCTTGACAGTTGACACATGTTCATGGGAAGAACCTTTAATTCTGATTCGAGGAAAGTGGGTTGTCATATATTCTTGATAAAGATAAGAACATCATTTGGTTTACCCAGTCACACTGAATAATTGAGTCAGAAAAGCTTGTGTGCCTACATTTAACAACAATTGAACGAGTTGTGAGACCTTAATATACACAAATGAGTTCTTGAAACACAAATGAGTCATATATTCTTGACAAAGATAAGATAAGAACATGCATTTTTGGTTAGTTACACTGAACAATTGAGTAAGAAAAGCTTGTATGTTTACACCTAACAACAATTAAACGAGTTGTAAGAACTTAATATAACTAAACGAGTTCTTCAAACACAAGTGCGAGATATCTTTTTATTATACTCGTCAATGGTGTTGATATTAAGTCATGTCAATGGTCTTATACCTTACCAAGAGTTTAATCAAACAAATTTTTTAGAATTGCCATCCCTGTTTATCATACTTGAATTTCATCCCTACTAAAAATCATGAAAGAACTCTCACTTCTTTGAAGTGGAATGGGGTATGACTTTAATGATTATACTAACTATTTTCTCTAGTTCTCACAATGAAGAATGGTCATCCGATGATTGATTCCAAATGCTGAATTAAATTCAGTCCTATTTATGGTCTTTATATACGTATTGTTCTTTTCCTTTGATACCAAGTAAAAGCAGTGCTAGAGGTTTTTACTAACACCGTCATGGTATGTGGCAGTGAAATCATGCCATGTGTATTACCTGCTTTACAAAGTTGTTTGAATCCCAAGTGCTTGAGAGGTCAGTTAAGAGTTACTACATAATTATTAAGGAACGTAAAGAATATATATAATTTTCTAAAAGTTGCCTAGTTATTTGATGTATTTGATGTAGGGAAGCGTACATGTGGGAGATAATTGAAGAAATTTAATCTCTCAATACGATAAAACACACTCAATATTTTATTAAAGTTGAGGGAATGTTTTATATAAAGCCTCCTAAACCCTAATCTTAACCTGTTGACCAAGACTAAGTAAAATAACAAATAAACTGTAAATGCTAGGAATAATAAGAATAGTAGATACTACCAAATATTCTAGTAATAATAATTACTTTGATACTCCGTCTGCACCATTATCCCCGATTGAGAAGGATTCGCTCTTGAATCCGACCCGATCTCGATGCAGGCGGTGGGAGTCGTACCCATGGCAGGAATCATCCGGCATTTTCCCCTATCGACCACAAAGGTTGAATATCGCCCAACTATGTCAGCATGCCCAAGAATTCGTGGGACAACCTCACGCAATGGCACATCAGTGTACCCTCTACCCCTCTACCCTCGATGACGGGAAAATAATTCTCCAATGAATAGAATAACAGCCTTGGAATGCCAAAAAATCAAACCCCCACCAACTTCATCATGTATAAAAAAGAGATCAAGATCTTGACGAAGTTGACGTTAGTCCCGCCTTTTAGCCTCCTCAAGGCTCAAAGTGGAGATAAGCTTTAAGTTGGTCCGCACTCTCCCATGCAGTACCATATATTCCTTGCAACATTGGCTTATTTGAGTCTCCTCACCAGTAAGTCCTAACAACAATTGAATCAAGGTCAACAACTTGTCTATTGATGTAGCCAGAGTAGATTCAACATGCGGCCAAGCACAAAGAACCAACCATTCCGTATCTATGTGATAGATGGTGACAGGCTCCTTTGTAATGCCCCTAAAATTTCAATCTTGTAGGGCTCACTCATAGCCATGGGCTTCTTCTCTTCTCGGATGGAAGACAAATTATTACCAATAATTCAATCAATTCCTTTCTCAATTTTCGTAATGTCCAAGCTCGATGAGGAATTCCTCAGGCCCCGGAGGCTCCTCATCAAAATTCGGAGGACAGTCGTAGAAAGTGCCCTAGCCGGGGTCGAATTCCTGGGAATTGCCGGAACCCCATCCCACGCAACGATGTCTCTATGTCGCCGAAACCCGCAGCTGCGCGAAAATGGTCGAAGCCCTGGGGCTCATCGAAATCCCAGCCCCCTGCGTCAGCGCCGAAGTTAGGAAAATACGGACTGCCGAAGCCCTCCTGAAACAGATCGCCGAAACCGGTGCCTGCCTGGTTTCGCGGAAGCTGACTTCGTCGTCCTACGCCTCCTCCCATTGCACCCGCTGATCGCCAAAGGGATTGACATTCGACCAAGTCGTCTCGTCATCCTCAGTGCCGTGCCGCGGTGGTGGATAACGTTGGCGGGGCGCC